GCCACTGGGGAGCGCGAAACATGTTGGCGTAAATGCGGCGCGTCGCTGGTGAGCGGGATGATTGGCGGTATCGTGTGATAGGATTGCTTCTAGTGTGTGGGCAGACCGTGCGGCGAATTACGTCCGCGATGTCGCAGTGCCATGCGGATTTGCGCGGCCTTGGTGGAAAGTGCGTTTGCGTGGCGCCGTATTATTGGTTAGCGCGAAATTGGCTGGCGTAAATGCGGCGTGTCGCTGGCAAGCGGGATGATTGGCGGTCTCATCGTGTAATAGGATAATTTCTAGTGCGTGTGTAGACCGCGCGGCGAATTACGCCCGCGATGTCGCAGTGCCATGCGGATTTCGGCAGCCTTGGTGGGAATTACGTTGGCGCGGCGCCGTGCCACTGGGGAGCGCAAAACATGGTGGCGTAAACGCGGCGTGTCGCTGGTGAGCGGGATGATTGGCGGCAACGTATGATAGGATTGCTTCTAGTGCGCGGGCAGACCGTGTGGCGAATTACGTCCGTGATGTCGCAGCGCCATGCGGATTTGCGCGGCCTTGGCGGGAAGTCCGTGAGCGCGGCGCCGTGACATTGGGGAATGCGAAACACGCCGGCGTAAACGCGGCGTGTCGCTGGTGAGCGGGATGATTGGTGGCATCATGTGATAGGATTGCTGCTAGCGCGTGGGCAGACCGCGCGGCGAATTACATCCGTGACGTCGCAGTGCCATGCGGATTTGCGCGGCCTTGGCACAAAGTGCGTTTGCGTGGCGCCGCGCCACTGCGAAATATGGCGCGCAAACGCGGCGTGTCGCTGGTGAGCGGGATGATTGGCGGTATCGTGTGATAGGATTGCTTCTATAGTGTATGGGCCGACCGCGTGGCGAATTACGTCCGTGATGTCGCAATGCCACGCGGATTTGCGCGGCCTTGGTGGGAAATACGTTTGCGCGGCGCCGTGCCATTGGGGAGCGCGAAATATGTTGGCGTACACGCGGCGTGTCGCTGGTGAGCGGGATGATTGGCGGCGTCACGTGATAGGATTGTTGCTAGCGTGTGGGCAGACCGCGTGGCGAATTACGTCCGCGACGTCGCAGCGCCATGGTGGAAAATGCGTTTGCATGGCGTTGCGCCGCGCGAAACATATTGGCGTAAACGCGGCGTGTCGCTGGTGAGCGGGATGATTGGCAGTAGCATGTGATAGGATTGCTTCTTCTCATATTTTCTCATTTTGTTGCATTTTGTTCAATACCTTTTTATCCAAAATTCAATATCTCTGCTACGTCTGCTCGCCTCCTCTACGCCACTTATTCTTGTCATCACATCTTCTCACAGATCTCACTTTATATCTATTTTCTCTTCTCCTTTCTTCTCACCTCTTCTTGTATCTTCTTCACCACTTCTACATCCTGAATCATCAGAAATTAACATTCATGTTCTACATCTACAAACTTAACATCTACATCTTTTCTTTTTCTCGCTCTCGGGCCACCCGTCGTCTAGTTCCAATGACGGTGTGTATCGACGCATGCAGGATGAATGCCGGCAGAAGATCGCGAGCTGACGGAGTTGCTTGACGAAGCTCGTGCAACAAGCCAGGAATTTTGCCATTCTGCACAGCATAGCTGAGGGTTTTTTTGAAATTATGAGCACATTGAAATCATTGATTCCAGATCCAAATCACATATATCTCGTCGGAGAAATAGAAGTGAAACCTCTCTTGACCTTGCAGGAATTGAATTTTTCTTGTGTCCCTCAGTCTTGCAAGGCCAGGGCATTTGTGGGCAGCTCAAGTTGCTTCTTCGTGCATTGGTCCTCAAATAATGCAAGGTTCTTTTTGTGCCATGTAGGCCCCAGCTGCTTGGACTGGAGTGCCGGCCCGATTCTGCAAATTTCAGACACTGCAAGTTGCAGACACTTGTGTAAAGGGCAACCTTGTTGCGTTCCAATATTGCATCTCTGTTTTCTTTCAGGCACGACCCCAAACAACGGAGACCAAGAACGGAAACCAGGCGCCGCCATATATTTTCCTTTCAGCTGTTTGCGCGAAACACCTTTCTCTACGCCCACACACCATCCAAATTGGATAGATAGAAGCACAACTACGGGATTTACGCCAAGGCAACCGGCTCTTGAGGGCTGCAGCTACCCGCACGCACCCCCCGAACGCATTGTGTGCTTCACCGCACCGACTGTCACAGGCGCCCAGCCACATGAATTGGAATGTATCGCACGCTAGCGTAGCTTGCTACGCCTTGCACACTGCAATAGTTGTCACCTTCACCGAGCACCGTCCATCTGCATGTCGCGCGCCACGCGCCGTCCATAAGCTTGTTACACGCCGATGATTCCATTTTGGCTCGCAAAGGCGCATTGGGCTCATAACCTGTGTTGGATAGGTGCAAGCCCAGCTAGCAAATCCGCCCGCACCGAAGGTGCTGAGGCGTTTTATAGGGCATGCTTGCAATCCGTTAGTATCGTCAGTATACAATAGCTTTAGCTAGGGGGGGGGGCATTTTTGCTCTAGAATCCTGTGTTTTTCACGTTTTTGGAACCGGCTTAAAGTGCTTTCGCGCTAATGTTGGGTATCTTGAAGGCTTTAGGGATGCAAGAAATGCGAGTTTCTGCTTTGCATCATCTGCATCATCTGGACATTTGGCTGAACAGGTTCCCCTAACGGGGCTCAACATAGCTTCCATATTGCGTAACCACTATCTAACGGACGTGTCTGCGAGATAGGGACTTGAACGTCCGGG